GGCAGCTATGCGGAAATTGACTTGGTAGTCCATGCCTGAGTCGTTCATTTCCACGATTTTATTATCGGTTTTGGATTTTCGTGTGATAATGACTCGGAAAACTGGCTTGTTGTCACCAGAATTATTCACCACTCGCGCCCGCCTCACACGGAGTATGTTAACGGGGGGTCATCGCACCTGTCTTTTGGCTACGGGCCTACGAATTTTTACTCGAAGAGTTCACGGCTGACGCGGTTACCGCCTCTAGCGGGAATTTCGGCCTCGTGAAAATACAGCCGGGTCGCGTCGAGTGAGGCACAAGTCGAGAGCCTGCGTTTTATTGCATCAATTATCATCCGCCGATGGTAATGGTGTGAGTTGTTGTTGTTGTTGTTGATGTTCTTGTACAACTGAACAAATCTTGCCAATTGAAGCGAATATGCGAGTTCCAGGAAGCAGTTCAGAAGAAAAAAATGCGATCATTGGAAAAAATAACTTCATTTTTCTGACGTTTCGGATTCTATCGAGAATCCGAGCACGCGGTGGCGGTGAGGAAGAAAGACGCTAGCTCCCAGGTTGCAGCTCAATCGACGCGACCCGTTCATATTTTCAAGTTTAACGAGGCTGAAATCCTCGCATAAGGTGACAACCGCGTGAGACGCGGGTTGTTTGAGTCATGGTTCTCAAGCCCCCAGTTCATCAACAAGCGTAGGACGTTGCCGTTCCTATACTGTGTACGGGGACATTGCCTGAGAAGGAGAATCAGTCACGTGGGCAGGGCCGGGCCCAGCATCAACTCTGACAACAGGGAGCATAATTATCGCGCAATTATCAGGCCCGCATCCGACACGGACAACGCAATCGCGGCAATTAATTACTCGAAAATGAACTGCTAAGCCATCACCGCACCAATTACGGCAGGAGCTGATAGCTGTAGTACGCATGCGGATGGCTGCTACGAACTCTAAATACCGCGAAATCTGCGTATGTCTCATGGTTATCTATGGTTAGGGATTCTCGACAGAATCCCAAAAGTCAGGAAAATGAAATTCTTGTTCCAGCGATCACATCTTAGTCTTCCGACCTGCCTTCTGGAAATCGCCCGTTCGCTTCTGTCAGTGGGACCGCCAA